GTGGTGGTGTTTTCACTTTTTGTTTACAATTCTCGGAGCAAAAACACCGTAAATACCGATGTTTTGAAGCCCAAAACCACGGTATTTACGATGTTTTTTTTTCCGCATCTGGTAGCAAAAAATACGGTATCTACAGTGTTTGTGTGCCAGTGCCTAGCAAAAAAACATTGGTAATAACGCAGTTTTTACCATGTTGCAAAATGTAGTTTCTACATGCGAAAAGGACAAACACATTGTATTTTACGATGTTTTTGCTTCCCGAGGGCAGCAAACAATCGTCAAAAAATGGTCCAAAAAGGGTCCAACATCGATGTCCAAAAGCATCTTCTAATTTGAGAGCATCTTCCTTCACGGCCCCGAACCACACCACCAGCCTGAAGGATTTTAGGGGGGTCCGCGGCAGGGGCGCGCCCCCGGGTAGCTAAAGCTAGGCTAAAACATTCACGGCGAGGCATCGCCGGATTCAAGGGCTGCCGCCCACTGCCGCAGACCCCTGTTCTGAACGGTGTAGGAAGAATACCAAGAGCAGCCGCCGGCTCGGCTCGGAAAAACAGCACCCCCGCCACGCTTTAAACAGCATGCCAGTGACAGACGGCTTCGCGCCGCTGCCTGGTCTGAAGGCCTAACGTCGCTTTCTGCACGGTCGAAGAAATGCCAAGAGCAGCAGCCAGCTCGGGAAAACGGACCCTTCGCCACGCATTCACAGCATGCCAGTGAAGGACGGACAGCTTCGCGCCGCTGCCTTGTCTAAAGGCTTAACGTTGCTTTCTGAATCGTGTAAGAAGAATGCCAAGAGCAGCCGCCAGCTCGGGAAAACGGACCCTTCGCCACGCTTTAACAGCATGCCAGACAGACGGACAGCTTCGCGCCCCTGCCCGGTCTGAAGGCCTAACGTCGCCCCTCATCGCTGTAAGAAGAATACCAAGAGCAGCCGCCGGCTCGGCTCGGAAAAACAGCCCCCCCGCCACGCTTTAAACAGCATGCCAGTGACAGACGGCTTCGCGCCGCTGCCTGGTCTGAAGGCCTAACGTCGCTTTCTGCACGGTCGAAGAAATGCCAAGAGCAGCAGC